CAAAGAGTGACTTTTTCGGCAACCTCCGCATTATCGTCCAAGGAGTAGGCAACTCGTCATACTGACCTATATGTGGACGTTATACCCTGTATGTAGGGGGAGGGAGAAACACTTGCGCGGGCGACTTGAAAATCGCATCATTGGCAGCGTCTCATTCAACTTCCTCAGACGAATCTATTCGGTCGCGGTAACTGAGATTTCGTTTCTCTTCGCATGTACGATACAGTTCCACGCTTTCTGCGAGAGTAGCCGAACACTCCGCTGCGGTAACAACATTTTCGAGACGGAAAATTTAGTTCCCCCAATCGAAAGTGTTATTGATGTCGTGACGGTTCTTTGATTTGCGAAATATGATTTTCTGCTACTGCAATTGAACTTCACGTAACAGAAAATTCCCACTTGTCCACTGCGGAATATTTTTTTGCGTGCACTAACAAGGAACATCCGTGAAATGTATGTCTCCGATTTCGACGAAACTTGGCATATTTGTAGAGTAGCCAAAAATAAAAGACCCATATTATTTTTATCGGTAATGGCTCAGGTTTAAGAGGTGAAACTGCTCCTCAAAGTTTCGTCCCCTTTGTGTTATCACGATAATTATTGCAGATAGGAAAAAACTTTTTAAACAAAAATTGAATAACATAAAAAACCGTACAATTTTTGTTTAACAAATTTTTTCCTATCTGCAATACTTATCGAGATAGCACGAAGGGGAAGAAACTTTGAGGAGCAGTACCCTTTAAACCTGTGCTATTACCAATGAAAAAAATATGGATCTCTTATATTTGGCTACTTTACAAATATGCCAAGTTTCGTCCAAATCAGAGACACACACTTCGTGGATGCTCCTTTTAAGAGCAAAACGTTCAAGGCCTCTGCTTAACCGCTTGACGGCAACCGAGGAATATCGCGTTAATATGAATCGTCTCTCTTTCTTCGCGTCACACGAGTTCGATCGCTGGTTTCCCTTGTTGTCTCGACCAAAAATATCTGTATGCTAATGCAAAAGCTCTTCTCCCTCTGGTGTATCCGTTTCCGTTAATTTTCGCCCTGCCGAAAGGAGGCCCCACCCTTGATGATTCCGAAAACTCTTGTCATCCCTTTCGCGTTCGCGTTATTTACGCGTCGCTCCCCGGCGGGAAAATAGCCGAAGGGCTGTTTCCCCGAGAGAAGAGTGACTTGTCGCAAAACGACATCGCCGGGGCTCGCAATAAGATGTTGAAAGAGAAGCGACGCGCGGCCTCTCGGGTGTGAGAATTTCTTTCGCGTTTCCCCGAAGTTTCGGCTCGTGCGCCAAGAGAAGGGGAAAGCTCGGCCCCGAAACACCTACTCCTCGCATGGGCGCATAATAAGGGCGATTAATTTTCTCGTGATCTCTCCTCGCGACAGGATCCGTCATATCGCGTCCGCGTCGCTGTTGTTTACGCAATTTCCAGTTTCGGGTACAACTGCCGCTCAGCGCTCGCCCGCGCAATATCGCCCGCAATTAATCGTCGCGCTATCGCGCTATCCCGACTGTGTGTGTGACACGACTTTCAGACGTTGAGGAGAGAAAACCCGTCTTGTAATTAATACCAGCAGCCGGTCGCGTAAGCGCGCTTGTAATCTCGCGGGACGAGCCAGTCGGAGAAAATCGACGACACGCGCGGAATCCGAATTCTCGCGCGTCGGCGATGGCCGCTGCGGTCCCGATTAAAGGCAGCTGCAGCGGCACGCGGCAGATTAATGTCTCCGCAATGACACGTAAAATTAAACGCCCCAATTCGGACAGAACGTCGCGGAATGATAATGCTGTACTTACCCTCGCTTGAAGCAAGCGTGCGACGGAGCGGCGCACGAAAGCTTTCGCCACGGACGTAACGGCATGAATCGCGAGACGCTCGTTCTCACGAGAGAGAGAGAGAGCTTGCGAAGAAAAGAGAAGAAAGGAAGGAAGAGAGGAAAAGGGGAGAAAACGAAGGAGACAAGGAAGAAGGATCGACTTTCGCGTCAAACTTCAATCTCCGAGGTCGCGGCCGTTTTTTTCCTCGGCGCGATGCGAGGTAAAGGTAATGCGAAAGGTTTCGAGCGCCTCCCCCCTTCCTCGTTGATCCGGCATCTCCCTCCTGCCCGTCGTGAGCGAGAAGCGAGGTGCAACAAATCAAAATGACAATGGCGGTGCGTGGGTGTGTGTATGTGTGCGCGAAAAAGGACAACAAAAGAAGATGAAGAACAAAAGGCGATTGCCGAGGTGGAGATGACGTTTAATCGTAAATCAATAAAATTAATGAATTAAATAAATAAATTAAAAATGTTTATACACATATCTATATATATAATATATATAATATAATATAAAACATAAATAGGGTCCCGAGACTGCTGGAGCATAGCGCGCACCCCCCTCGCTCCCCCTTCCCGCCCTGTCACTTTTGCTCGCGCCCGGAGGTCGTCGTCCTTCTCGTCCTTGTCGTCGTCATCGCCGTCGCCGTCGCCGTCGCCGTCGCTGTCGTCGTCGAGATGTCTTACGGATGAGAGATCTCGCGCGAGCTCTTAATTAGAACGAAACTAAAACGGATACTCGGTAGACGCGCTTCCCTGCTTCCTCCCCCCGCTTCCCACCCCGCGTCGCGAGGACGTCGGAGGATGCTTTCGAAATCGGCCGATTATTCCTCCTCGCGAGGCGAGGACATTTCCTTCTTCGCGACTCCGACTCCGACTCGCCGAGATGCTCTCGCCCTTGCCCCACCTCCCCCCTCCCCGCTGCTCCTTGCCCTTTCTCTTTGTCTCTATCTCTCTTTCTTTACCTATCTTATACCTCTGGTTGTTTTAGCTAGCCTAATGCGTGTTACACTATTGTATTTTACATTAGATCGTTTTTGCCCACGTGGTCTCTCCTCCGCGATTCCTTCGCCGACGCCGGTCGATCTCCTCCACCTTCCCCTCTCTCTCTCTCTTTCTCTCTATCTCTCTATCAGCTGCAACTACGGGCGCGATACCTAATTTCGCTTACGGATGATAACGTCGAGGTCGGAGCTCCGACGGAAACGCGGAAACTGCAACATCGTCGTTGCCGTCGGAGCGATTCCCGTTGAGAAATTGACTTCCCCGGATTTTGAGGCGCCCTCGCCTAGGACTACCATCGCGTTCGGCTCGCGTTCTCGGCTGTTGAACATCGTGTATCAATGATTTATGCCGATGGGCATCGAGGACGTTCCCGGCGACTTTTCATCCCGAGTCGCTAGTTTCCCGAACTCTCCGCGTGCGCGAGACTTTGCGTCGATCAAGGATCGTCCTCTTCGCGATCGCGGCTGGCGAGAAGACCAAGGTAGAGGCAAATCCGAGCGAATTGGAGCGCGACCCCGTGACCTCCCGGCGACAAGGACGAACGAGAATGCGGCGCAGATTCCCCCCTCCCCCCCGTCGCTCTTCGACTCTTCTCACCCCGCGGCTCGATCCTGAGCGCCGAAGTTTCGCACTCCCGGCTAACAGCCGAGGTTGAGGGACGCGGGTCGTTGCAGCTCTGACAATGAGAGTGAAGAGCGCGCCTTTCCGCGCGCCTTCGAGAGCAGGAGGAGGAGAAGGAGGAAGAGGAGGAGGAGATCCTTGGCGTGATCGTCCCGACCATCTTGTGGCGACGATTCGCGCGGTCGTCGCGTTTGTCCTTGATCGAGACCCTGGGCTCTTTGGTATTGTTCTCCCTCGCGGAGACCCCGGAGAGAGATGCGAGGATACGACAACACCGCGCACCTTCCCCGGCGCGCCACCATGTCGTTCCTCTCGAGAACGGCGGCGCCGAGATTTCTTTCGAGGTCAAGCACCGTCATTCGAATTCGCGATAGTCGCCCCTCGAGCGCTCTTCCCCGATCATACGACGCCGAGATGAGAGCATCGGTAGAGTCGAGGAACCTACGTGTCCCCCGCCCTCCCTCCTGCTCCGTTTCGACCTTCTTTCCCTCCCTCCCCCCCCTCTTTCTCTCTCTTTCTCTCCCTTTCACGCCGGCACACGCTCATTTGCACATTCATGATCTCTCGCAATGCCATTCCTTCTGTCATTTTCATTCTCTCTCTCTCTCTCTCTCTCTCTCTCTCTCTCTCTCTCTCTCTCTCTCTCTCTCTCTCTCTCTCTCTCTCTCTCTCTCTCTCTCTCTCTCTCTCGCTCTCTCTCGCTCTCTCTCGCTCTTGCCCGAAGAACTTCCCGCGGAAGCCGTACGACGCGTACGCGCGAGTCGTACGACGATATTTTCTAGAAGGAAAGTACCGGTAATAACGCCCGTAGAAGTGGAAAAGCAGGAGAGGAAGAGCGAGGACATAAAAGGGAGGGACAGCGAAGCGATTAAAAGACAAGGAAGTGCGACAAGGGCAGGAGGGAGGGACAAGAAGAAGGAAGAGAAGGAGAAGAGAGGAAGACGAGAAAGGAGGAGCAGAGAGGATAAAAGTGAAAGAGCGGGAAAAGGAAGGGGGAGGGGAAATGACGTGAGGAGAGATAGCGATAGTAGCCGTAGAAATTGAAGAAGGTACGAATACCCGGTCCGGTCTGAACTAAAAGAGTTACACAGAACCCGTCCTAATGCCCGAGGTCGACGGAACCGAAATTCGTCGTTTTTATCTCACTTTCACTCTCACTTTCACTCTCACTCTCTCGCCAACTCACTCTCTCTCTCTCTCTCTCTCTCTCTCTCTCTCTCTCTCTCTCTCTCTCTCTCTCTCTCTCCCCCCCCCCATCCCTCCCGCCCTTCTCTCCCTTGCTTTCTGTTTCCTGCTCGTTTCTAAACCCGTCATCGTCTCCCTCTCATCTGTGCCACGAAATCCGTCCACTTTCCTCCGTTCGCACAATTTTCCCCTCCCCTTTTAGTCGCGCGTTGGCCCTCTCACGACTGTTTCTCGTGGGCTCCAAGTACACCTAGGCTAGAAAAGGGTCTACTCATGTCAAAGGGCCCCGCGCGATTATCGCTAGCAGTAGTACGAGGTAGAGAGTCCCAGCTTGCAGGAAAAGGGTGCCCTACGCCGGTTATACACACTTCCGGTGCTGATGACGTCCTTCGTCTCGCACCGCAGACCCGTGAAGCCATCCGCGCATCTGCAACAGAAAATCCCGTTCGATATCAGATACCGGGGGTAGGTGCACCCTGTTATTAGGGATGAATAGTTACTTTTTTTAATAACTTTTATCTAGGCGAGGGGGAGAGTACCGTTATCTATAAATAATTATTCTATAACTAATATCATTATGAATCTTGTCAGACTAATGGATATCTGATTTTAATCGCACAGTTAACCCTTTGAGACATGTATTTTTCAGAAAATCCGAATCACATGAAAATTTATATACGAGGGTTTCTGGGGTCGCTGATGACGAATCTGTTATCAGATTTTCGAAATTTAAGTTGGCGGATCCAAGATGGCGGACGCAAAAATGAAAAATCGCGATAATTTCGGTGACAATAGGTATATAGTGGGGTTTTTGGAGTCGCTGATTACGAATCCGTTATTAGATTTTCAAAATTCAAAATGGCGGCCACAAATATGCAAAATTAACTAGCCGAAAGACAATGTCAGGTAAATATATTAGAATTTTATGATCCACCAACTTGAATCTGCAATCTTGAACAATGAGTTTTAAATCTCGGATTTGTAATCAGCGGCCTTGAAAGCTAACCAAGTACAATTTTAGCTAATTTAATAAAAATTCTATGATCCGCCATCTTGAATCCGCCATCTCGGAAAATTAATTTTGGAATTTGGACCTCAGATTCGTAATTAGCGACCTAAAAAACTCCCAAATCTTGATTTTGAGCAAAAAATTCACTCATAGTTCGTGGAAAATGATTTTTTTCTGTAAAAATGTATATTTTTCACACTTTGTTTATTTATAATAAATGGACAACTTGTGCAAAACACTTTTTAACCTTTCATGTATGTTCCCATATCATATAAGAAGTTAAAAAGCGCAAAAAACCCGACAAGAATCCCTCAAATATGAAATATTTCATGAAAATGTGAGAATAAACAGGTGGTAAGTATACTTACCACTATGCCTCAAAGGGTTAAAGTAATATTTCAATCTTCTATATATATGTATATGTATATTAAATTTGCAAGAAACTTGATTAAATTTTATACTATTACAATTTGATACCATTATATCCATTTAATATGATCCATAATATCCAATCGATATCATTATTACGCAATATGTATCTATTCTTCGATAACGAAGTATTATAGTCAAGGATGATAAATGTTGATTGATGGATAATTTGGGATTATATCTTGAATATTGTCGCCTTTGTTGCAGGAATCATACGAGCGGTATTCATGATCGAAATTTATCTTTAAAATTTACGCCTGCGTTCATCAAGCGTAACGATTTATCGAGTAGAGAATTTATGGAATTTGCTGAAAAAATCCTGGTGAAGTTAAAGATTATTTATTCAATAGGCATGAGGACAAAACAATAAATAAAACAGTATACCTGTATAACTGTTATTCAACTGCATATAACCGCATATAAACAAATATTCGCGGAATATCCTTATTTAGTGTAAATAAAGCTGGCAATTGCGATTGCAGATCGGTGATAATTATAAAATAGCAAGTACTTTGTGTCGAGCACGTGATATGTCGTATTCAGTCTCCTAAATATTGGTTTTGTGAAAAGCTTGGTTGAATTTTACAGGTAACATCATACTCGTGGAATTCATATGAAATAGGTTGATAATATAATACGCAGGGTGTTTAAAAAACGGGTTTACTTTAAGGGCAAATAGTACTCACAAAGTGGAGGAAAAGAGTCCTAATAAAAGTGGGCCGATAAATTAACATTGTCGAAGTTACGAACAATTATTTATTTTAATTCAAGCAAATCGGCTGTACATGAAAACATTTTTGCTTTTTCTTGATTGCAGTAATACGATGTTATTCTTATCATACTGTGAACTTTGCGATAACTCTCTGCAACTATCAAGAGGCACGGTAGTGCCTCGCGCCAAGTTCAAGCGCAACGAAGTTGCGCCCGAACGACGCGAGGCATACCGTGCCTATATTACGCGAAACTGCGAGTTGAAACTAGGTGAGATATTCATATCTCAGTAATGGCTAAACCGATCGGGGTTTTTTCAATGCCAATCGATTCGGCCTTAAAAAATAGGAAGAAAAGTGTCCTTGTGTTTTTGTGTACGTTGTCTCTAAATGTAGATATTTTAAAATAAAGTCCAAATCACGGAAAATTTCGATTCAGTAAGGAAGTAAGAAACGCTAGACCGCAGAGGAGAGGGGATTTGTGCATCTCACTTTACCGACACCAGAGGCGTTATAAGCGCGCTGAAGAAGCAGCGAGTGCGAGTGAGCAAGCGATAGAGAGTAAGAGAGAGAAGAATATTGCTAGAATACAGGAGTAGAAATGTGTGAGAAAGAGAAAGAGAGCAAGAGCGAGAGAGAGAGAGAGAGAGAGAGAGAAAGAAGCCAAAACTTTTGCATTAAATATTTTTTATTGCATTGTTATAATAACTAATTTATTATAACAACAAATAAAATAACCATAAAACTCAGTTAATAAAACTCTAATAAATAATGAAAACACTGTTTTTGAAGTACCAGACTGTGTATTATTGGGAGTTTTCGATGCATTTATCTTCAGATTGCAAATCGCTCTCATTTGTAGAGTTGATGTTGAGTAGAGTTTTTCAGTTGATGCTATTGTTTTGTTATATCATTTTTATAGAGTAGAACAGTTTTGTAGAGTTTTATTTATAGTATTCAATAGAAGAATTTATTGTCAGAGATATAAGTTTTACTTGTACAAACTTATTACTTGTATAACGAAAATAATAAATTACATTGCTCAAAAATACACGCTCAGGTGCGGTACGATGCACAGTACTAAAAACGTAAACATTGCCGTTCACATCATTTCTTTTGTAAAGTAGTGTTGTAGAGTTTTATTATAGTTTTAAATTTTACTTCTAAAATTTTATATTACATATATAACTTGAAAAAAAATAATTTGGAATTTCTAAAAATAACACAGTACGTGTTGCGCGTGTACTTGACGCCTCTTTTTACCTTTTTGTTTAAAAAAGTAAGTTTTATACAACGTTACGGGCTCTCTGAGACGTGTCCCGACGGGACAAGGTCGCACGACTTTGAAAACAACATGTTTATAAGTACGCAATTGCCACGACCATTTTCATTATTGTTTACGCCACGGGCACGGCGGCGGACGGATCCGAATTTTCACGCTCGATCACAGCGTACGCGCGCGTGTAACGTGTAATATTCGTGCGTGTGTGTATGTGTGTGTGCGTGACGATCCAGAACATTTTGAGCAATAGCAGTGTTTCATGGTCTTTAAAGGTAAACTTTTATTGGTTAACTTGGTTAAGTTGAAGAAGCTAATTTGTAGTCTCGAGTCTTCGTACTCTTGGTGCGAGGCGCATTTGTCGCTGTAATACTAATGAGGAAACTCGTTTTTTGTTACAGATCTACTGGAGTTTGCAGCCACACGATACCGCGGTTATCGGGACGTAGTTTCGACGGACGCCGATGCCGTACCGGAGGATCCGGTTCGGGCCGAGCAGAGTCGGCTTGAAGGTGAGGTTCACCGATCGTTTATACATTTCTTCTTGATTTATTGCGATCGAAAACCGAGCGATTGAAATAAAAGCTGTTGAATTACAATGGCAAAGGATCAACATTTGTATCTGCACGCGCGCGCTTCCGCGAACTGAACTCAACCTAACCTAACTTTTAACCTAATGGTTTAACTAACGAAACTATATTTTTTGTTACAGATCCGCAGCAGAACGCGGCTGACTCTGTCTGCTATGTATCGGTGAGTCAGAGAAGAAAAGACATTTTTATGGTGATGGGTGGTTGCGATATCTCGAGAAAATCAATGCGGTTTAATGATACTTTTTTCACGCGTTGCTCGAAATAATCAGGAGATCGTGTCTTTCAATAACCGTATTACACAACAATTTTTAAGATATAATTTAAATATATAAAGAATTAATATAAAGAATAAATAGAGAATTTTTAAGATATAATATATAATTCTCTCTTTTATATTTACTCTGAATCATTAGAAGATACAGATATAAATGCTTTAGTTTGTTATTATATTGAAATCAAGGTATAGAATTATTTGCTGCGATTCAATCAATATAACTCCTGCTTCGAGTAGTGTGTGATGTTAAAATTTGATCAGATTTGCGTGCATCCGATTGCACGCAATTCTTATTCCGATTGATCAAATATCAATCTTCAATCCGCAATCCTTGATCTTCAATCCGTAACGGGATTTAGCCAACTCGCGCAGACCTTGCGCAACTCATCAACCGACGGAAATGTCTCGCGGACCTCGTGATCGCGCGAAGTTGAAGGCGAGAAGAGGAGCAAATTGCGACGGTTCACTTTTCACGAGAATGTGTGATTAACAATTTTTTGGTAAAGCGTGCATATAAATGGGAAGAAAATAGATGTTGGTTTATATTCCGAGCAAAAGCAACGGGACTTTTTCTAGGGATTCTTTAGGGATTTTTTTGAGAGACCTTTAAAGTATTTATAACTAAACTATTTATTACTGTTTATAACTCCGACGATATTAATTTTTTGACTCATGTTTATTAGGACTTTTTTTTCTCCATTTTGTGAATACTATCCTTTAAAGTCTTGAACTCTCTTTTTAAACACCCTGTATATGTATTACTCGCTAACGAAATATTATAGGCAAGGACGATAATTGTACTTGATTAATGAATAATTTGGGATTATTCCTCAAACGTTGTTCTGTTTGCTGCGGGATTTATATATATGGGCGGTATTCATGGTCTAATTTCATTTATGCTAAGTTTACCGAGTATAGCGATTGTCTCTTAACTAGAGCATTTATATGGAATTGTCTAAAATTCTCATCTAAAATTTAATTCTTGAACTGTAGGTCATTCGGGGGCAAGTTTAATTAACCATACAGAGAGAACCGTAATGTCCGTATCTGAAATATAAATAAGATAGTCGCGTTATGCACGGGTCTATCGATAGTTTTCAGGACGCCTCACTTTTGCGCTTTAGTAACTTTAG